TTATTAAATTTTCATCTTTAGTAGATATATTTTATGGTCAAAAAAATTTCCAGCTTACAACTTATTATACTACATGTTATACATTTTTTTCATATTAAATGTTAGTAAATTAAGATTCATTTTTTTATTTCAAACATATTGTGGTTAAAAAATATGTTTATAAATGCATTTTGTCCATAAAAATTTTAGAAGTAAAAAAATATTTACAATTTTTATGAGAAACTTTTATTAAATACGTTTTTATTAAGCTCGAATTTGATTGTGTTATTTTTAAATTATGAAACAAATTTTCTGAAATATTAACTTTTCTTTACTTTCATTTATTGATGATTCATTTGAATTAAGAACGGATAGTTTCGATTTTGTTTTAACAAAAATTTTGCATGATACATTTTTGTAAAACAAGTGTAATATACAAAAATGTGTTATATTTCCCTCATAAAGTTTTTATAGTGAATTGATAAAATATATTTTATGATCCAAAGTCATTCTCTTATTTCAACTAGGTGCATGTTTATAAAAACAGAGTTTGAAAATATTTTTCTTAAAATATTTTTCTAGTAAGCCCGTTTTGACGTGTCCATCATGTGTGATTTTAAACTACAATTAAGTTTGAAATAATAAAGTAACGAATCGTGAAAATAATTGAAACCAATTTACCGGCATCAATTTGATTTCCTACAAAAGTTTTTGACGGCGCGGCGACCAGTGAAACTTTTAGAAGGGACAAAGAGTCGTTCAAGCCATTTCCCTTACTCCGACAGATTGGTTTTAAGTGCCAATATTTTATTGTTCTACTCCTCCTTCACTTTTAGCATTGAATAAGGATGTCGGTAAACGTTCTCCTTTACCCTTGAGATCGTATCAGCGTTGGATGTTTTGATGTTTTCTTGGTAATGCTGGACTTGAGTTTAAAACTTTTTTTTTCTCCTATTCTCACAATTATTTGACACATATATATCTCACATATATTTACAATCTTTACTACCGTACTACAATAAAAGCGCATTGAATTTTCGATCGTGATAAGTTAAGCCAATCAAAATTTTTATAGAAGGTGTAAATCATTCTATCAAAACAAAAATACTTTTACATCAAATTCAGATACCGATAATTTTCCAATTCGTTTAAATTGTTTCAATAACATTTGTCTTCCTGTGTTACACTCATTAAATATACCAGTAGAAAAGTTGCTTTTTGTAAATATTTAAACTGCAAATAATTTGAAAAAAGGAAATATTCAATGATAAAGCGTTCTTAGGGTTTTTTATGAGCGAAATGCATCTGAAATTACTTACTACCTTATCCAAAATACATTTTCAAGATAAACCTATATATTTTTGTCCTGCGATGGTTCGATATCCCCCGACTATGAAAAGGCCCATGTTTTAGTTTGTAATATTAAAATGCTATTGTAAAACTAATAACGTATTCTATAGGGTATGTATTTGTTTGCCGTGGAAATTAAAATTATAATTCGTATTAACATAAAAATGAGGTAAAAATGTTGTGTACCGTGTGTTATTATTGTGTGTGTATGTTGTTCTCCTAAGTTTTGGTCATACTACATACTCTTTTGTTTATTTATTAAAAGCTCAATATGTAACATTTTAGAGTAACGAGCACGAATTCTTCAGATGACAGATATTTTTGGCAGCGGTATGCTGTTTTTAGGTACAGCATAAAGGTAAACACGCAATGTTTAACAAAGACAGTATGTTAAAGCACAGAAACAAGTCTACCTGTTCTTTTGTACATCAGGCGCGTGTCATAGTTTTAAGCATTCCACAAACGGGTGTTTTAAAGTGATTTGCTAGTACTTTGATGTCTATATTCTATGAGACTATAGAAAATTTAAAACAGAAACATTCGGTTTTGGCGCCAAGTGAAGTGATATGTAAAGTTTGTATCATGTCATTTAATTAATAGCACCAGGTATATTGTACATTATGACATTCACTAGTACACAAACTAATGGTAGGCAAGCACAGTACACCTCATTTTGGTTCGTCAGCATTAAAATTAATTTTATGCCCAGTGTAAACATATAATAAACATTTCTAACTAATGCCAACGCAGTGGGGCGCGATCACTTAAAATAATTATACACTTTTGCAAATGAATAGACTTTTGAATAAAAAAATTGACCCACGTGATGAAACAATTAAACACTATTTTTGGGTTAAAAGTATAGGACAATAAGTGCCATATAAATACCTAATCAATGCGGTCAACCTTTTTCACACAACCACATTTTTCAAACTTTTGTTCTTTCGGAAAAGGGGCTGTCCTCGACAGAACGTTAGCGACCTGGGAAGTACTTTGCCGAATTATATATTCTGTGAAATGCACACACCAAGTGCACTTGTTATACGGTACTTCGAGTGGCTCATTCAGGTTAACCGGTAAATTAAACCACCATTAAAGTGACAGTACCGACTAAAAACACTTGACTACCTTTCGATAATATTTCCAGTTTTTTATACGCATATTTTAGAAAATAACCATATTTAAAAGGTGTTTTCATTTGTATAGACTTCAAAAATTGATAAATACAACGTTTATTAAAATTGAATATTTTTTTCTTCTATTAAATCGAAGTTATTTTCAGTTCTCATGAAACACATCAATTTTCTTATTCAGAACAGAAGGAAATAAATCAAAATTCAACTTCCGTTTAAATGCCAAAGAAAAGACTTTTCTTATATTTGTTTAGTTTTAAGTTACTCTCTATTGTTATTGTTTATTAGAGACAGCTATTCATTTTCATCAAGTAACTTAGTATGTTTGTTATTCTTTCCCGCAAAATTAAGTGAAAAATCACAAGACATGGACAACTTCAATTGCAGAGTACAGGGTGATTCTTTCAACGCTAACCACTCGATTGCTATTAAAATAATAATGTTAAGAAAATTTATAAAATTAAAAGGTTAATAACTTCCGAGATAATTAGTTAAAGTTGGTATCGACTAGTAATTTTCTTAATTGCATCATTTATTTTATTTTATAAGCTTAATAAATATGTTTGTTATTATTAAAAAATTAAAGTTGACATTCTTATAAGGTATAAGGGACGAATAAAAAAGACAATAATAACTGATAAATTGAGAAATATAAGATACTAAAAATATTTTTATTATTATAATTATTATTTTAAGAGAAAAAGAGTAGCTGACGTTAAAATAATTATATTGTATATTTTAAATTTATTTTTAAAAATATAATTTTTAATTGACTATCAAAAAACCTATTGGTAACCATGGTAACAAACGGTTAAGACCATCGGACATAATTTATGGACCTTGGGTATGCCGACGGTCTAAAACTACAAAAACGCAAACGTATTAAATTAATGTATTTCCCAAATATAAACGGTTTTTTAAAGGTATTGTACTAAAATTAAATAATTTTTATGTTTAAAATAAAATATATTTTTAATAAAAAATTTATTTTTATTATCAAACTAAGTAACAAATTGATTATGAAATATTAGCCAAAGCATTTTTTTAATAACTTATTGATGACTCATTATGTGTTGAGTTGTAAGTTTATAGTTATTGAAAGGATAGTTTAGAAACTATAATAAAATTATCTATATTGCGGTACTACTTTCTAAAATGTTGATAAATAAGTTATTTAAAAGAAGAAAATCAATTGAAAAAGCACAATTTACTAACAAGTAACTGAACAAAATATCAACTTAAAAGAGCAAAAGCTTACAGGACTTATAACAATCTGTAATTGTCTAGACGATTATATAAAAATAAACTTATTAATAATAAAAATAAATAAAACTGCAATAAAAGCATTGATAAAGAAAAGTAAATATCAATAATTTAATGAAATTCTGAATAATATTAACATTCAATAATGGCTAATTTTGAAGGCTAGTATGTCAATTTAGAAATTTTTGGAAGAAAACAAACACACATTTTTAATGTTTTATGAAAATCTATATTTTTTAACATTTTTTTTATAAAATACAAACATTCTCGATGTAACAGATTTCAATTTTTTCCACGTAACAAGAAAATATCTTCTATAAAAATTATAAAAAAATGTCACTTACCCATTTTTATGAGTTATCAGATTTTGAGTAATAGTTACAGAAATATACATAAAAGCTATACCAGCATTAGACTGAAACGGATTGGACGCCATTCGACTAATGACATTAGGAGTCATAAAGCATTGAATGTGTAGTAACATTAAAATTGTTGTATAGTATTTTTTTTGTATAATGATAGCATACTTAGATCAATATAAATGGATGGAAAACAATTTTTGTTAAATGTGAATTTGATTAGGGTACTTCAAACCGACAATCAGGGTGACTTAGAACAATTTTGACTTTAAAACTACTCTATCAGATTACTATTAATAGTTAAATTCTGTAAAAAATCACACGTTCTCGCATACGTCCAAAATATAAATTGAGCCGAAAAATGTTTTTAAATAAATTAAAGTAAACGTAATTAAAAAGCGCTTGTCCCAGGTTATCAAACTCTTTGAGTGATATAAAATATCAATTTTGTTGAATGAAACATTTTTTAAACTTCATATTTATTGTAAAAAAACAAATCTATATCAGTTAAACACTGTTATCAAAAAATAAAACTAAATTCAATTAAGCGTACTGTTTCAAGGCAACCTGATCGACGGAAAGTAATGTTTATCTCTGGTAATTAAATGCAAACAATTTCTAGCAGATTCTGTTTTATTTGAAAATATTTATATACAAATATCATAATATATAAATTAATACCATTTAAATATGTACATAAATAGTTAGTATTTTGTACTATTTTTTTTTAATAAACTTCCGGTATTTTAAAATTGAACGTTATTTTGAAATTATAGAATCTTTTATTGAATAATAACAATTCAAAGAAAATTTTATTATATTTTGATAAATGCCATACGAAATGATTCACTTAATTATTTTACCATGTATATTTCATCAATAAATTAAAATTATCCTAAAATGTTTGTAGACTTACCAAAGAAATTCGCTGATAGAGTTAAGCACGTGATCTTGTAAGTCCGCGTGGTGCGGGACACAACGGAGTTTGTACGTTTGGCTCGGAGCCGAATCAAAGAATGTGTGCGTACTATCGTCGGCCTGTTGTCGAAGGTCTCTCTGGTTTCGGCCGCCCATTCGGTCTACCTACCACCCCTAACCACCTATTTGGTTTAGTACTTCTTTCGGTTGTTCCTGTTGCTCATTTGCGCACAAATAACGTAGATTTTTATTGTTTATTTAAAACTAACTGCCAATGGGCATAATAATAACACTAACGAAACGAGATATTCTGTATTTATCAAGTAAATTTACAGATAAAGCGTTAATTTTAATTGAACTTCTTTAAGTTTTAGTTTAAGTTCTAGAATTCATTTTTGTTTAAATTAACTTTACTTATTATCGTAGAAAAAATAAGTAAATATTCATATTTAATATTCTGATGTGAATAAAACGTATAAAACAGTTATTATTATTTTTATTAAATAGACATATTACAATATATCCGATAGTCAAGAATTTATGTAGCGAGTTACTAAGGAAGTAATTGTATCAAAACTAGGTGGTATGGGCTGGGGAATTTGGAAATAACAGTATTTTTAACCGACCAAACCAACCCATATCATGTTTATCTATCATGTATTTAAATACAATATTTTACAGTAATATAAATTTATTTTACTATAATAATATTACCACGATTTCAGCATCTGAAGAACATTTCTTCTAATTCACACCTTTTTATTATTAACAATAAAACTTAAGAACGATTTTAAAAAGAGGCATTAACTCCTTACATATTTTAAAAAATCACCAATGAAATTAGTATTGAAGAACGTGTTAACCACTTGTATCCTCAAAATTTAGCTAAGTTATATTTAAAATTAAAATAATTGAATGAATATTAATTTTAAACATATATTTTAATATTAGATTTAAAAATTAAAAATTCCAATTTTATTGATGGATACATTTATTGACTTATATTGTACTATGCTTATGGTCTGTATAGTGTCTAAATTAATATTCTTTTAAAAAAATGTCATGTAGAATAAAAATAGAAATAAAAAATTCGTATTATTTTATTTAAATTAGAATTGTTAAAAGGAAAAGAATACTTATAAAAAAAGCTTTAACTTCAAACTAAAAATTATGTAAATTGAAATATTATTATGTTGACGAGCTACTGTAATTTAATTTTTTTAACATTGGCATATTTTAAAATATTGTTCTTTAATCATATTTTTAAAAATATTCTGTAAAAAATTACTAAATCTATTAATTTACACGTTTTACAAATAACGACGGATTATTCTGTAACATATCAATCCAAAAAACTGTTATAGTTATTCAATATTAAAATAAAAAAATGAAAAAAAAATGATTTATATTTTTACAACATTTTTTACTTTTTTCAGAAAATCAAAATTTAAATTTATCCCTTTATATTGCAGACGATTGAAATTATTTTTATAATCTTAAAGCAATTAAATAGATGATTTATTTACAGATACGACGTGTCGTATCTATTGTCAATTCTTCTATCCCGTCGCAATGGGACCAACCTACTTTGAACTTTCTGTTATGATGTATATCGATGGGCGTTTAACTTCAACAATTATCAAAAAACAAAACGGTATTTATAAAGATAAAAGAAGTTGAAGTCAAACTTTGTAAGTGCTGTTTACATAATAAACACCGAAGGAAGTTTTTATTTTATTGTTTTATTGAGTTTTGGTATCTTTTGTTTTGTATAAGTCTAAAAAGAATCAGAAGTTTTGCATATTTTTAAATAGCTCTAAAAGCTGTTAAGTTTTTTGTTAAAGGTACTACATTTACAATTGAGTTATTTTGAATTTTTTATTCGTTAGTTTGAGTTTTATTTTAACAGAAAATTATTTTATAACATTTTGCAGTGTTTTTTTTTTTTAATTTATTCCAAGATCTCTAAATATTTGAATATTTTTTTAACCATGAAAATGTTTGTTAATTTTTTTATAGGTATACGTATTAAAATAATTTTAAAGCATGTAAAAATATATTATTTGTAAAAATTTAATAAAAAAACTAGCATAGTGGGGTCGCAGTACACTGATGTCGCACATAGGTGGAACAAGTATTCTGACAAAAAATTAATTTGCTGTCATACAAAATGTTTCGATGCAAATATGTAAATAGTAATGATTTTATTTTAATTCTAATATCTTTAGACAGGATCGTTGGATAATACCAAAAACATTATCAAGTTCTATTTTCTTATCCTGATTACAAGTTATTTATGTTACTTATGAATTATAGTTTAATATTAAAAATATATTATTATTATAAATCTATAAATATCCGAGAAGGTATTTATAATAAATACCTTCTTAGCTTTACAGTAAAGCTAAATATTTATGATTACTTTTAACATATCTTAACTTTTACTTTTTTTAGTTTTCTCAAAATATTTCCTAAAATTTTCAGTTGTTCATTAATAATCCAAAATATAACATAACTTTTATCTATCCTATCCAATTAAAATTATTATAATAAAAGGATTTAAAATATTTGTATACCAGAAATATAGTAATAATCCTGTCACAATAAGTATGATAGGCGTTCTGCTAATTGGAAGATTGGCGTGAGTTTTATTGATGGAGTGATATATTAAATCGTTTAGTTTGTTATATGACTTGATCTCGTACATATAACAGCCTCGTTGTATTATTATTACTCTACCCCGACATAAATCATTGTTGAAAAGGAGTAGAGGTGGGTTTATTTTCACAGTAGACAAGCCGACATCTATTGCATTTATCATAATAATGGGAATAAACTCCATTTGTTCTATAGAGTTGGATTACTTTAATTGTAATGACTTAAGTACGCTGACCATTAAATGTTTGATTAAAAATAAAATGTTTTTATCGGTTGATTTATTGACTATAATACATGATTGATACCAGCCTATTATCTTATTATCTGTAATTCAATTACTATTTTTGATAGAGATCTACTTAATTTAAATTAAATATATTCAATAGGAAATTAATACACAAATTATTTTTTAATTTATTAATAAGGTCTCTTCCTAATCTGAAGATCTTCCAAAGAATTCCGTGTATGTTACAACTTTGTAAAAAATCTTTTAAATATATTTTTTTTAACTTGAAACTGTCTTAATTTTTTGAAAAATTATTTTTTCATAAATATCTTAGGTATTTCCATTTCGTAATGTATATTTTTTTTGTAAATCCGACCTTTTACCCGCTCAAAGGGAGGGGATTCCAAATATGGATTTTTGCATAATAAGTTAACTTTTTCAATTTAACTTTTGAAAATGTTCCGGAAATCCTGACACCTTATATGTATCTTATATAAAAATCTATGCAATATACTTTATTTTGTAAAATAAATTTTATCTCTGGACTTGTCTTTGTAATGAAAACGGACATCAAAGTTATAAAACAGTACAAATTTTGTGTAAAAATGTAATAAATTGTTATACAAAAACTTATTTGAAAATGTTTTTAAGAAATGAGTGTAAATTGCGTTGGCATATTAAGATAGGGATGTTAGAGAACTAACCGCTCCAAATTTTTTTTCGCCAATATTTATCTTGACTCAAATTTCTATATAATTTTAAAAAACATTTTTAAAGAGTACTTTTTTTTTTTTAATTTTGGACGTTTTCTATAGTCATGAAAAAGGGAGTTGGGGACAACAACCCCCCTTTTTTTCAACTTAAATACAAATGTTATTACATCCTTAAACAGAAAAAAATGTTGTTTAGGAAATTTTTGTGTAGAATATATTGTGTGGGTAAATAAGAGTACGATAGCAATATCTTAATAATATTCTGTATGTGTATTAATTGACATAGGATACTCACTCAGCTGATTGTTTCTTTAAAATTGAGGTACGCTGACTTTTTCAATATCCGAGCCATAATTAGCAAAAAGTAGACGTAGCAACTTGTCACCAAAGATTTCTTATGAAATAGAATCAAAGAAATTGGTGTAAGTTGAAAACAACAAAAATCGTGTCACAATTGGAACCAATATTACAGTTGGGAGACTGGTGTAAATTGTTATAAGAGATGAAATAAAAATCAGATAGTATTTACAAATATCATACTTAGAACCAGTCAGGTAAACAATATCGGTTTACTATATGGTATATTAAATTAAATTAGCAGACGGACGAGAAGATTGCATATGATTGAACTAGGTGGAATGTGACACAAGGATAACAGTAAGTTTGAGTTTCACTCGCGGGGGCATTATGTACAAACAGAATTACTACATTGGGTGTTCAACTGTGACAAAGATAACGCCCGAGTGCCAGCAAAGATTTCTACAGACTCGCCGATTCGTAAGTGATTCATTTGTAAACTTCTAGTTTACCACTTTCCGTGTGCATAGTTGTTGTAACCATTTCACTAATACAATAGATTTATAATAGGTTTAGAGAGATCATTGAATTAAAAGATACGTAATAAAAACTGTAATTAAAGCACACAAAATAACTATGTAGATTTCAATTATATGATAACTTTCAGTATCTTTGTACACAGAACTAGTAAGGCTTAAAAAAATATATATCACATTCTCAAAGTTTTATCGAGTGAATGCAATTACTTGTTATAATTGAAATTACCTCTACCACAACGGTAATTTGTATGTTTAAATGTTATTTTCTTATTACTTTCATAAAAATATAAGTTTCAACCGATAGTTTTGTACCAATTCACAATCTCAGTATGCGATTGATTTCCTGGAAATATTGGAAATTCGAAAATATAGTTTATGTTGGTTTAGTCATTTGACGCGATGTATAAAACTAGAAAGGCAACCCATGGGGACCATCATTTTCCCACAAACCAAGAGATTGCACAGTGGATGTTTGCGTTTTGTGACGGAGAACCCTTTTTCATTTCTTATCTAGAATGTACATACGCTCGGTATAAATTATAAAACGTGCCGGACAACCGGTACGGGTATGCAACCCTTAGGTTTTGACGTTGCCGCCCCTTTCGGCATATCTTTTATATAAATATACACAGATATGATCTAAGTGTAGTATCTAAATTTAGTAAATAAATATCATTGGTTATGGTAAAAAATAGAT